AAAAAAAAAAAAAAAAAAAAAAAAAGAAAAAAAAAAAAAAAAAAAAAAAAAAAGGAAAACAAATAAAAAATACAAAATGAAGGAGAAGGAGAAGGAGAAGAAGAGGAGGAAAGCCATTTTCGTAAATATTTGGTAAGAAGATAGCATTTTGGTAAAAGCGGAAAAATGACCGTTGCAACTCTGCTCCTCCTTTATATCGGAGGACCCCAAGCGAAGAGCCGTTTCAATTGCAAAAGAACAAGATAACTTTCAAGAAAATTGCGCAACGAAAACACAGAATTTTCAGAAGAAAGCAAGAGAATAGATTGGAAATCTCGAAAATTTGTTGTTTAAAGAAAGGAGAGAAGGAAAGCCAAGCAGTCAAAACAATTCGGTTAGTTCTCTTTCTGAAACCCTAAGTTTCTGTTTGGTTGCCTAGAAAATTTCGGTAAAGATCATCTAGAAATTACATTCTTACTCTTCTAACGCTAAGGGTATATAAACAACTTAATCGCATGATATTTTTGCTTTTTCCCCTTTTTCATCGGCCAAACTCGTGTTTAAATTTCCTTTGTTTCCTTGATTTTGTGTTTCTGTCAAACCCTACTACCCTAGGATCCTTGTTTCTTTGGCTCATTGATGAGTTTTCTATCTTAAACCGTCTTATCTTTATAGTGTTTTATTGGAAAAACCGAACATTAAAACAATTCAGTTAGTTCTCCATCTGAAACCCTACGTTTCTGTTTGGTAGCCAAAAAAAGTTCTGTAAAGATCATCTAGAAACTGAACTCTAATCCTTCTGACACTCGGGGTATACAAAGAAGCTATTGTATGATATTTTTCCTGTTCTTCTTTTCTTCATTGACCAAATTCGTATTTACTTTTCTAGTTTTTTCTTAATTGTTTGTTTCTGTCAAACCCTAGGGTCTCTGTTTCTTTAGCTCATCGTTGAGTTTACAATCTATTATTCGTTGGTGGTGTCTCTTGTAGTAAATCTGTTTAGTTTACAGATGTGGTTTCCCTGCATGTTTACCTGCTTATGTGTGTAGAATTTTACGAAGTGCAAAACATTGGGCTGATTCTCGCCTGCAAAAAACAGCAATGGCTACACAAGCTGGTCGCCTATTTCAAGATCAGAACTTAAATGTTCACTATAATGGTATGTAGTCTTCATTTTCCCATTAATACTATGATCAGACTTTTAGTCAGATCTCTTATGGATCATTATGATTTATTATTCTTAGGAGCTTCTGTTGGGGGAAAGACCACTAGCTTTAAGGCACCACCAAAGAAAGGAGGACTTGGTGTAAGGAAAGCACTTAATGATATTTCAAACTCCGGAAACCCTTCAGGACTTCAAGCTTCGAAGAAACATAGCTCTGCGAATGTGATTTCTATCGGGGAAGAACTTGGTGCCTTCAAAACTAAGGTTTCCGTTGAAGGGAAAACAAATGTTCTTAAGGCTCCGGAGAAAGTGCAAGTTGGTGGCAGAAAAGCATTAAGTGACCTCACAAACTCGGGGAAGCCATCGGTTCATCAGTTGTCAAAGAAGAGTCACATTAAGAAGTTGAATGCTGTTGTAGAAGAAAATTACCTTCCCAGTGCTGTTGCTGAGGAGCGATTTCTGCACGATCATCAGAAATGCATCAAAGCTCGAAGAAATACTGTAGACATGGATACTTTTCTGAAGATTGTTGGGCTAGATAATGGTAATAAAGGCCTACACTTATGCAACTGTGTTAACTTGTCATATGTTTCCCATTTAATCCAGTTTCATTAATTGTGTGCAGATATTTCTGTGCACCTAGCATCACCACAGGCACTTCCAGTATCAAGAGACTCAAAGGTCAGTCTACATTTGAATTACTTCTTAAACTTTCTTTCTTTAATCATCTTTTCTAAAGCTTCAATTTAGGCTTTGTTTATGTACATTAGTACGGATATTATGTGCCGCTAACTGAGAATTGGTTTCTCTGATGTTTCAGCGTGAGAGCCCACTGAAGCATCTGAAAATGGAAGAAATATCAGAGCTGCTGATTGAAGATCGATTCCCCCAATGCAGGAATACAGATCTTCCTAACGAGAATAATAATTCTCCACCTCCTTGTCAAACTTCCAAGTCACCAAGGCCACAAATTGAATGGGAGGACTACAATTTCTCTGATTTCATGTTGATGGGGACACCATGACTACCAATGAACTGATCATCTATCTTTCAGCAAGCTTCTTGAACTCTAGAATCAGTCAAAATTTTGAAGAGATTATCGGTTGATAATTTCTTTCATGCTGTTTTTCCTTTAGACGGAGCCTTCCCTAGCTTTTACTGCAGTCAATTGATTTGACTATTATTAGTCTCGTTCAGCACTTCATACTTCAGTTAGTTTTTGTATTGATATATCAACATCATGTTTGACTGTATTTTGGATATGTAGGCTTGGTTTGGCAAAGTTTGTGTTTGACAATTGTGTAATTGGCTGATTTTGGTGGTTTACTGTTCAACTACATCAAGTTGGGTAGGAACATGTTTTGTCCCATGAGTTACTGTGTGTTACCTCAGTCGGCCTTATTCCTACCTTTCTGTAATTTTAACATAGGAAATATGAAGAAAATATGACCACTAGAACAGAGGCGATGTTGCCATTTACTGGGAAAGGTATACTTCGAAGGAAAGCCAGTGTGAACGAGGCAGCTACCATGGATGTGTGCTGCCTGAAAATTAGGGATATTTTTCAGTCTTACTGCTGATGAAGTATGTTGAATTTGAATGCCTTAATGCATTTGGTGTACTGTTCAGGTTGTTAGGAATTAAAGAATGAGGCATTCCCTCTTTCTCACAGGGCATATTGTGCTTGCTTCCCTTTTTTTAATGGTTTTGGTAACATATTGAGCTACTTTTATTCATATTACAGCAAGCCTCAAGATGGCATAGGGGGGACCCCTTCATGCACTGGGACAAAAGCGACTAAAAACTCAAACACTCGCTTTCTAATCTACATCTGCACACACAAACATTATTTGTGGTTGGTTTGCTTATGAATCAAACACAATGAATGAGGGCTTACGTTTAATGGACTTATCTATCTACCTCTAGCCCCCAAAAAAGAAGAAAGTGCATGCAGTTCTGAAGGTGTAAAGGAGGCCAGACCTGATTTCTCAACGAGTTTTCTTTAATGGTGTTTAAAGTTTGACTTATTTATTCAATGAGATTAATCGAATTAGTCTTAATTGAACATATTACGCCCTGAAGTTTGAGTAACTTGATCATAAACACATATATGTATTCATATTAACTTGTACAATGCTAGTCAAACTAAACTCTATATATTAATGAATAATGAGCTGACAATGCGATAAAGTTTAACCCATTTATCTCACCAATCAATGCCTCCTAAGCCAATTCCACAAAGAGATGGAGCCTTTTAGTGGTTGACCAAATAAGGCCTTGTGAAACCCACCATTCCCTCAATTCATTTTTGAGCCCGCTTTCTCTTTTTTTGGGCTTCTGTCAAAGTCCTGAAAAAAAAAATTAAGCCTATTTCTCCAACCTTAGAAACCGTACATCAACAATTTTGTATGAATTATGGGCCGTCCATCACCCTAGCAGAGCATATCCATCAGACACAATGCAAATCATGTGTGCCCAGAGTGTTTTAAAACGCGGCCCAGACCGCTGGATTGACCCGGGAACCACTGAACCCGTCACCAAACAGGGCCGGATAGTATATTAAATCGTTTCAACATAAAACTCGGTCAAAATCCATTGAATCGGGTAGTTCTTGCCCAAACTCACTAAACCGGACAGGTTATTGACAACCTGGACAGGTCATTTTAAACAATATTAAAGGTACATTTTTGGCCCTTTTAGGCATTTTTGCCCTAACCAATCGCTCAACAACTGCCTCTCTCTCAACTCAAAGTCTCTTTTCTCTCTCACCGGTGAACAAATCAACCTTCTCTCTCTCTCAGTCGAACTCAAATTCGAACAAATCAACTCTCTCTCTCTCTTACTCTCAATCGAAGTGTCGAACGAAAGCAATATCTTCTCTTTCACTTAACAGGTAGTTCATCACTCACCTCTTTCTCAGTCTCTTTGCACTCAGATGGTGGTGAACTGATAATTGTAGCTTTGATTAATTATTTTATGAATATTCAATGAAAAATTTGAAAATTTTAGCTTATTTTATGTCGATATGTTATGATTGGTACTGTGCGGTTGATGAATCTTGAGCATTCAATTTGGTGTAGTTGATGAATGTTTGGTGTAGTTGATGAGCCTTGAACATTTAATTAGATACATGTTTGATAATATTTTGATTTTGTTTGATTTAATTGGCATAATTAGTGGTTTAGATTTAGAATATTTTCTCTCCTTTTTGGTCTATATTCATTTCCTTTTCTAGTGGTCTGCATTCATTTCCTTTTTGGTCTTAGATACATGTTTTTTTATTATTGAGAAACAGCAATTTTGTTCATAATTTAAATCAAATGAATGACTTTTATTTTGAGAATCAGCCATTGATACACATATTTGTTCTTCTCAACAGATTGTATTATTTTTTTTCTATGTATCACAGGTAGATTAACTCTGTTATTTTAATACTTATTTTTATTTTTTTTAGCATATTTATAATTAATAATAACCTATTAACCCGGTTTTTTTACCGGATGATGTCCGGGCCGGATCGTAAAACAACAGAACTCACACTAAACCTCATCCCTGTCCACGCCCAGAACTCAAACTCACTCGGCTTGCTCTCTCCACCCATGGGGGCTCTGAGACTCCCCTCTCTCTCCTCCATCTTCGCTTCTTCCTCTACTGCCATCTCGTCCCGGTCGCCTTCGCTTTTCCGGCGGCACTGTCAGCTCCGCCTCCCTATCCGGCGTATCTCAGCCGCCAATTTCTCTGCTCAGAGCACCGCCGAAAAAGAGCTTGCGCCAGGAATTGAAGATCCTGACGTGAACCAGAAGTCCCGAGTTCAAGATAAAGACCGAGTCATCACGCCTCGGTCTCAGGACTTCAATGCTTGGTACCTTGACGTAATCGCAAAAGCGGAGCTTGCTGATTATGGTCCGGTTCGGGGGACTATGGTTATCCGACCGTACGGGTACGCCATTTGGGAAGCTATTCAGGTATTTCTTATGGTATCTGTTTCTGTTTGTTGAAAGTTGGATGATTATTTGACGCTTTGAGTTATTCTCTCTTTCTCTTTTTTATTTCTTTTTTAATTTTCCATTTTTCTGCAGGAGTATTTGAATGTTAAGTTCAAGGAGACTGGTCATAGCAACATGTACTTCCCACAGGTTTGGTTTTTTGACTCTGTGTGCGTGATTGTCATCGTTGTTGGCATATAATTACTTGTGTGGGGCATGTAACCACTGCCATGATATGTGGCAGTTACTACACAATATGTCATGAATTTTTGGACTATGCTCCAGTTAAACTGTCATTATTCCTTAGAGGATGACAAGTTTTCTGGAAGTTTTACTTAACTTGCTTGTTTTGAGAGACCCTTGGAATAGCCTTAAAGAGCAAACATTGATACGGGTATTTGAATGTAGTTATCCATCAAATACTGAATATGTTATTACATTATTGGTTTTGCCTTGTAGCTTGCATTTTTGTTTGCTTATTTCACATATTGGTTTTGGCTGCAGTTTATACCATACTCATTTATAGAGAAAGAAGCTAGCCACGTTGAGGGATTTAGTCCAGAATTAGCCCTTGTGACCATTGGAGGAGGAAAGGAACTTGAAGAAAAACTTGTGGTACATTTTTCACCCAACTCCTGGCGTTGGCTTCTTTGTTTTTCTTATCAAACAACCATGTCATTCATACCTATAACTTGACTTGATTAACATGCTGGCTCAAGTTAAAAGAAAGTATCATCTGAGACTTGGCTTTGATTGTTGCTCTTCCTGAGGTTCTGATAGGTTCGACCTACTAGTGAAACCATTGTGAATCACATGTTTACTCAGTGGATTCATAGTTACCGTGATCTTCCCCTTATGATCAATCAGGTACCATGGTTTATCGCGTAACTTTTTATAGTTTTCACTGATGCAGTGGAATTGCTTGTTGATCTTCCTTTACTGTCATTTTCTTTTTTTTTTCCAGTGGGCAAATGTCACAAGATGGGAGATGCGTACTAAACCGTTTATCAGGACTCTAGAATTTCTCTGGCAGGAGGGCCACACGGCCCATGCCACTTTGGTGGAGGCGGAAAAAGAGGTTTGAACCTTGCTCACCTCAGCTACACTCCTATTTATTCAAAGACACTTCTATTTTCATTTAACAGATTGATGCTGCTGAACTGCAGGCATTACAGATGATTGATCTCTATACAAAATTTGCTTATGAGCAAGCTGCAATACCTGTCATTGCAGGTCGAAAATCAAGAGTGGAGACATTTGCAGGGGCTTCCAAGACATACACAATTGAAGCTATGATGGGTGATCGAAAGGCTTTGCAGGCTGGAACAAGCCATAACCTTGGACAGAACTTCTCTCGTGCATTTGAAACACAGGTATATGCTATATTGATTGATCATTGTGTGTAGCTTCTAACAGTTCGCACTTCATAACTTTGGTCTCTTAGTTTTAGTCATTGGCTGCAATCCAATATTTAGTTTTGCTATTTAAAGATATGTATATGTGTGGTGATTATGCAATTGCAAAGACAGTGTGGAGAACTGCAGGATATAAGAAACACAATTTTATATTAGCAATATTTTCTGCATGTGATTGAAATTTGTACTGTTTCAATAAGTGCAGCTGCTTTTATCACTCGAAATATATGTCGTCTCCTGGGATCTAGCTTCTTGTATTTGGTTGTTAAAGGAGGTCTCATTCCTCTTCTAATTTTTCTGCATAGTTTCTAGGTGACTTAACTTTTTTGCAGTGAACAGTTAGTAACTCCTTCTGTATACACTGCAGTTGATCGGTTGATGAGAGTTTTTTTTCCTCTTTAGCACCCCCCGGGGGGATTGGAGAGAGAGAGAGGACAGACTTCTCTATTTTCTTTTATCTTTAATGACCTGGTGTGCAATTAAGCTATAAGAAACTTGCATTTGGTTCTAACTTTGTAAGCAATTGAGTCAGTTACGAGCTTTCTAGAGTTTTGGTTACTAATGGTTTTTTCAAGATCTTCATAGCTGTGTACCTGCAAATGTTATATTTCTCATATAAATGAGTTTGGTTTCAACGGGGTTCCTTGTGTTGAGGAGAAGCAATTTTAGGTGGTCCTTTCTTCCCTCTGCAGGTTCTCACATTTTATCTTTTTTGTTGTATGACATTCATTTTCTTCTCTTGGTAGAGTATGTAGTGTCCTATTAAATCCTTGTAAACCCCCCCCCCCTCCCCCCCAAAAACAAAAAAA